TTTCTATGTTAGAATTTCTAACTATTCCACTAACTCATCAATTTAAATAAATCTAATTGATCCTTCTCAAAATTTCCTAATTGATGAAAATAAGTTTTTTTTTGAAACAATGAAAATAAGTTTAATAACCTTATTTAATACGTAGTATTTATATTTATATAAAAATTAAAAATTAATGTATGGCCTTAAACAAGTAAACAATACAATGAATACATACAAAAGATTAAACAACGTAACTAAACTAGGCAACTAAAACGGCAAAGCTCTAAACCTAACATTTAATTGATTTATTAATCTAACATAGAGAGTTGGAGTCTTGCTGTTCAGGCACGCACGTACTGTCTTGGAATCTAGTGTCTCTAACTCCAAGGTTGTTTTTGCATTAAAGGAGAAGGCTCGGCTCTCAAGTTATAGGGGGCAATCCATTTTTCTTATTGGGGGCAAATAGCTTAGCTTCTATTGATTTCAGTTAGGATTCAAACTTTAGTAGTTAATAATTAAAACGATTAATGCCATTAACATATTACTATTAGTTAAATATTAGTAAATCAACGCTTTTAGTTAATGTCACAAATTAAAGTTGGTTAATTCAAATTATTAATGCCACAAATTAAATAATGTACTGCTTTTAGTTAATTAATAATATTAATGTACTTATATATTATTTTGATTATAATATATATACAGGCATAATGTATAGACAAAACAGAAGTTGGATGTACCAAAAACATCGTGATAACTATGGAATACGCAATGAATTTTTGAATGGTGTTGAAGATTTTATTAAATTTGCACAAGAACAGAAGAATTATATGGATGGAGATAAAATCAGATGTCCATGTACAAAGTGTAAAAATCTTCAATTTAAAGATGTCGACCAAGTTGTGTGGGATTTGTACGAAAAAGGTTTCGTTGCCAATTATTATAATTGGACTTCTCATGGTGAACCTTTCGATCCATCACTTTTACCGCAAACAGTGGGTTCATCTCGTAACGTCCCTACCGAGATGAGTGGATGGGGAGACTATGATCAAATGACGTGGGATCAAAGAATGGCATATGATGTATACGGTGCTTCAACGATGCAGTTTAACCCACCACAGCCATTTAACGATCTTCCCGAAGCTTCGACCTCGTATCAACCCGATGCGGATGAAGATCAGACCTTTTATCAGTCTGCTGTGGATGAGTATCCGAATTCTCATGTTCCTCATATTGAAGACTTAGCTGAAAGATTTCAAGATGTTTTAAAAGCTGCTGATCAGCCTCTGTATGCTGATTGTGAGGGATACTCTCAGCTATCCGCCGTTACAGAGTTGATGAACATTAAATCTGAATACAATCTTCCTGAATCTTGCATGTCTAGGTTATTGCAGTCATTTGGAGGAATGTTACCGCGTGACCATAATCTTCCTGATTCATATTACAAAATGAAACAATTAATGTCTCAGTTGGGGCTTCCTTGTATAGAAATTGATGCGTGCCCAGAAGGATGTATGTTGTTCTGGAAGGATGATGTGGCACTTGAGACCTGCAAGTTCTGTGGTGGAGAGAGATACAAGCATGTTCCTCATAGACGAAAAAAACCACGAAAAAGGTCTGCATTGTCTAAATTGTTTTACCTCCCTCTAGCTCCACGCCTGCAGAGGATGTATGCTTCAAATGCTACTGCGAAACACATGACGTGGCATGTTGAGCACGAAACCAAAGAGGGTTTGATGTCTCACCCTTCCGACTGTGAAGCTTGGAGACACTTTGACCGTTGTCATCCTCAGTTTGCAATGGAGCCACGGAATGTGCGACTGGGATTGTGTTCAGACGGATTTGCTGCTTTTGGAAAGTTTGGGAAGAAATTTTCATGTTGGCCAGTCATGTTAACTCCTTATAATCTTCCTCCCGACATGTGCATGAAAAGTCATTTCATCTTTTTAACTTTAATTTGTCCAGGTCCCTCGGATCCTAAAAAAGGGATAGACATCTATCTCCAACCCCTGATCGAGGAGATGAAAGAACTTTGGGCCATTGGGACACCAACTTATGATGTTTCGAGAGATCAGATGTTTATCATGAAAGCTGCCATCATTTGGACCATTAGCGACTTCCCTGCTTATGGTATGCTTTCAGGATGGAGCACACACGGTCTTATGGGATGTCCGATATGTATGGATCAATCAGAGGCCAATTGGCTCAAATTTAGCGGGAAACCAAGTTACTTTGATTGTCACCGCAAATTTCTGCCTATGAACCATCGATATCGAAAGGACAAGAAGTCTTTTATTGCCGGAAGAGTGGTACGAGATCCCCCTCCTCCGAGACTTACAGGTGAACAAGTTTTTAACCGGGTTCGACGTTTTCCTACGGCCGTGCAGCAACCTCACGGGGAGCCAAATGGGTATTGTGATACCCATAAGTGGACAAAGAGAAGTATATTTTGGGAGTTGCCGTATTGGAAGGACCTTCTCATTCGTAACAATTTAGATGTCATGCACGTTGAGAAGAACGTCTTTGACAATATATTTAACACGGTTATGGATTTTACCCACAAAACCAAAGATGGTCTTGCATCTAGAAAAGACATGACAATTTGGTGCGACAGACCCGAACTCACCGTCGATCTAGAATACGTGGGTAAAAAAATTCCAAGAGCAGTCTACCAACTCACAGCCCCACAAAGGGAATCAATATTAGAGTGGCTTGTTTCTCTGAACTTTCCAGATGGCTATTGTTCTAACTTGTCAAGATGCGTGGACCTGGACAAACAAACAATGACGTCGAGCATGAAAACTCATGATGCTCATGTAATCATGCAACGACTTCTGCCGATTGCACTGAAAGAGATGCTTCCTGCAGACGTCTGGGGCTGTATTACCGAAATCAGTCAATTGTTTCAGTCGATATGTTCCGCCGTTTTGGATGCCGAATCCCTGAGGAGACTAGAAGACACTGTTCCTATTCTGATGTGTAATCTGGAAAAGATACTGCCCCCATCATTTTTTGATGTAATGGAACATCTTCTAATACATCTTCCGTATGAGGCTTTGAATGGAGGGCCCGTCTTCTATCGTTGGATGTACAGATTTGAAAGGTTAGTCATAATTTCATTTATAAACGATGATTTGTTTAATAAGAACATTTGTTTGTTTACAAATTTTATTTTGCATGACAGATTTCTGGGAGATTTGAAAAAGAAAGCGACCAACAAGGCACACATTGAGGCTTCAATTTGTCAAGCATATATTCAACAAGAAACCTCAACGTTTTCATCTTTTTATTTTGAGCGTGAAGTAATCAGTAAAAGAAAGAGACCTGCTCGGAACGATGACATTGGCGAGGATTCATATGATAAAGTAGTTTCTATTTTCAACTACCCAGGTAGAGGTAAAGGAGCTGCGACTTACCGTTACATCGTGGGCGGAGAAATGAAAATTGCACATACTTACATCCTCATGAATTGTCCAGAAATCTTACCATTTTATAAGTAAGTTGAATTGGTAGTTACATTTGTAATATAGCTAATATTTTTTTTAATAATTAGAGTGTTATAATAATATCTTTATGTTCAATTCACAGTGAATTTAGAGCGTCTTTATCAGCATTTCCTGATGATGCAATTGATGCAATGGTGGACTCTGACTTTGCATTATGGTACCAACAGCAGGTATTATATATATATATATATATATATATATATATATATAAATACATTATATATACTATTAGCTAGTAATTTTTAATCATTACCTAATGTTATCATGTTTTAATTTGCAGATCAGGTACCGTGGGATTAACGACCCTCTGTTAGTATCCTTATCGTGGGGCCCTTCTTCCTATGCAAAGGTTTGGCATTCATATGTGATAAACGGTTATACGTATCACACAGTTGAATATGGAGAAGGTCGACCAACAATGAACAGCGGGTTATGTGTCCCGACCATCGGTTCTGATAACTCGGAAACCAATTTTTTTGGTTTCTTGCATGAGATTCTCGAACTTCAAATGCCTTCTGGTTTGCAAGAATTAACATGCGTGTTGTTTCGCTGCACATGGGTCGACCCTACACGTGGTGTGAGAAAAAATTCAAAATATAATATAATTGACGTCAACCACTCTCGTGTGTATCAGAAAAATGAGCCATTTATACTCGCTCAACAAGCAGCCCAGGTTTATTATGCAGAGTATCCTTCAACGAGGCGCACACGGAATCCTTGGGTGTGTGCCATTAATATCCGTCCGAGCAAAATTGTAACACAGGCTCAACAAAGGGATATTGACTTTGATGCTTTTCAGCAAGATTTTTTCCACCCTCCGCCTATTGCTGATACGGTCAACCATAACATTCAGTTAAGTGACCCAAATGGCGGAGATGTTGAAGTTATGCCTGAAACACACCTTCCGCCCCCTATACCTCAAAATGAGCGCGAAATTGAAGAATTATATATACAACAACTGCACGATGACCAGGAGGAAGAAGAAGAATGGATATCTGGTGATGATGATACAGAAGAAGAAGTTGCCTATCAAGAAAATACTGATTCTGATAGCGATTAAATGTATACTTAACAACCAATGTAATTACTTTTAATTGAACTATTTTAATTTGAATTTTTAACTTTCTTTCGTCATTATTATATTATTCCAAGATATAATAGTTAGGTATGTAATTCGCAACTATCATTTCTAAACAAAATAATTATTCCATATTATATTGTAAAATAGCGATTAATTAATTAATAAAATTAAGTTTTTAAAATTATTCAATTGAAAATTAGTGGTTCATTATTATCGATTCGTAAATTTAAAATTAATTAGGTAATTTCGAAAATCGAAAATTAAATAATTCGAAATTTAACATTATTTAAAATTCGGAAATTAGTTTTTTAACATTATTTGTTATTAGTTTTTTAACATTACAAAATTTTAATAATTCGAAATTTAATAAACAAGAACATGAATTTATTTATTAAATTTAAAAACTAAGTAGAAAACACACAATTTTTTATCATTTATTACATTCAACAACTCACAATACAGATAAACAAATAAACACAATATTATTCATTAGCGTCAAAACTTTCATCTAGAGGCCTATCAAGTAGCTCGTTAATTCTTTCTGCAGCTTCCGCGTTTATAGGTATCATATACTCCGAACATTGTTCTGCGCGTAAAAGTGCCCTACGCAAGTTTTTCCCTCGTGAAACGTTGTATGAGTCCGATTCATAGTCTATAATATCGCCAAAGCTTTCAAGCGGTCTACTCATCAGCTCACGGATGCTTTGAACTGCTTCTGCATTTCGAGGCTTCATCAACTGTGTAACTTGTTTTAATCTTTGTACACTTCTACTGATCAACTTCCACACATCTGGTTCTGGATTAGCCATTTTTTCGCACCGAAAAAATGGGACTCTAAGCACATATTTATACTTAAATTTGTCACGGATAGGTCCGTGACAATTAAAGTAGCTGACGCCTCGTCTGATTAAGGCTGAAAAAGCTTTAATATTCCCTGCACCGGTTTGTCACGGATTCATCCGTGACAAAGCCGTGACAACATTCAAAAATTTGAATGTTGTCACGGATTTGTCACGGATGAATCCGTGACAAACCGGTCAACCTGCCGTTCTAACGCCTCGTCTGCCGTTCCCTGCCGCCTCGACTGCTGTTCCGCAGTTTACAAGTTCCGATAATTAGTTTATTAACATTTTAAGGATTTTAAAATTTTGATGTGTTAATGTATGAATATTAATGTGTAATGGTTTGATTGTGTTTAAATAATAGTTTATTTGTGTTTTATAATGATGGTTTGATTAGATTATTATTTATTATGATACCTAATGTGTAATGGTGATTAATGGTGATTTATTATGATGGTGTTTTGTAATAGTTGATTGTGATTATTATTATAAACAATTATTTATTATGATTATTGTTTAACTATTTATTATTAAGTTTAATTTTTTGAAAAAGCGCCTAAATTTTAATGGTTTTTTTTATTAAATAAACTTTTGAAATAAACTTTTAAAAATGCGCTGAATTTTTAAAAATTTTTTTAAAAAAATTTAAACTTTTGTCACGGACTGTTCCGTGACAAAATATAAATTCACGCTAAATTAACGTATTTTTTTTTTAAAAAAAATGTTTCCCATCCGTGACAAATTCAAAAATTTGAATTTTTTTGAAAATTTTAAAGCTCCCGCTCACTCTATTTTAAAATTTTCAAATTTTTTTCAAAATAGTTTGTCACGGATATGTCCGTGACAAAATTTAAAATTTGAATTTTCCGGACCGTTTCAAATACCCGCCCACTCTATTTTGAAAAACCTTTTTAAAATTTGTCACGGATAATTCCGTGACAAGTAATTATTTTTTTTTTGAAAAATAAAAACATTTATTCACGGATGCGTCCGTGACAAATGAAAGGCGATGGGATTCCGGTGAAGTGTTTTGTCACGGACCGTGGCCGTGACAAATCCGTGACAAACATTCTCACAGATAATATATATATATATATAAGAGATCAAATACAAACCATGCTTAAAATACTAACCTACAAACTCAATAATACGCATCACTTTGAACTTCAATATGCAGTACAAATAATGTAAAAATGCAGAGGTGAGATCACATACAAACTAGTCCTCTCATTCAATTCAAATCATTTTTACATTATTTGTATTGCACATTGAAGTTCAAAGTGTTTCATATTATTCAAGCCATAAAATAGCAGTTTCATATTTACATTATTTGTATTGCATATTGAAATTCAAAGAGTGCATCTTTACATTATTTGTACTTCATATTGAAGTTCAAAGTGTTGCATATTATTGAGTTTGTAGGTTAGTAAGTTAAGCATGGTTTGTATGCGATCTTACCCCTATATATATGCAAAGTGTTGCATATATATGGAGGCCTTTCCCGTAGCCTCTGCCACCTCCCAGCAATGTCACTTCCGATCAATGAATTTTTTTTCATTTTGCGTAAAATTTTCATTTTCTCCCTTGGAATGCCATTAAGATGTCACTTTTTCTTTGAAAATGTTTCAATGTTTGTGGGAAGAAGGTAGTAATTCTCATTTTTCTAATTTTTATTTTTATTAATCTTATTTAATATTTTTTTGTTTTTTTTTTAATTTTATTATAAATAAAGTTATTTTATTACTACATTTACGGTTTAATTATTAATGAAATATAAATGTATTAAAGCAAAGAATAATACTACGTACTATGTAAGTATTTATCAACAAAGAACGTGTAGTCGAGCTGGTTGTTGTCTGTAGTGTGCAGGGTTCAAATCCCCCTTCGGTATATAATTTTTTATGAAAATTTTGGGGGTGGCATGGTTTTTGCTACTCCCTTTTTTTGTTATCAAATCCAAACTTTCGATTAATCCCAACAGTCATTAGCCCAAAAGTCTAGCAATACAATCACGCAATAAAATAAAAGTAAAAATAAATGCTAAGCGCTTCATAATTGTTTCTATTAAGTGCATCCCATATCAGAGAATCTGCCCGGCCTCTATATTATTAGTCCAATAATAATAGAAAAAAACGCAAGTCATTATTTTTTTGGGTATAATGTGTTTTTTCCAGAGTACACATAGTCTATGGGATTAGTTTATGCAGTTGCGGACCCAGAGATTTGTGAGAGCGAGACAATACTAAACTTAATCTATGATAAAAACTTCGAGCTCAAAGTGAGGGTACTGATTTTTAGTGATACTAATGAATTTTCGAACCCGAAACGGGGCACGTACCCCACCTAGCCCCCTAGGTCCTCCATTGAGTTTATGTATTAGAGGGACACTGTTTTACTCAAATGTTCTAGGAATACCAACCTATTCTTCGATCGGGTGCATTTTTTTTAAAAGAAAAGAAAACGGACAAGTACCGTATTATTTTGCGTGGGGAATAAAAAGAGATACGTAGGTACACGTACCTTTACTAGCGTAGCCACGAAAGACCTGTTTTTGAAGTCCCGAGCTGGGACCCTAACTTTCCCAATTCCGAAATGCGGAGAGAGAAGAGACTTGCGCTCCACCACCGTCGCACCACTGCCATTGGCCGCTTCTCTTCCGCAACAGATGCTGCTACTACGACGACGAGCGCCGGCGGCGGCAGCGAACAGAGCGAGTTCTCTCCTTTTGAGGCGCTTGACGAGTCGGAGCTGTCGCCTGTCCTCCGATAGAGACCCTTCCACTTCGGCGAACTTCCTGAGAAGCTCGTCCGATGAAGATCTGGTGACATGCTGAACCGTAGCTGTAGCTGCGGCATTATTACTTTTCTCCATTTCAAAATCAAAATCTTTATTGGGGAGCGCATGCAGTGGATGCAAATTAATTACATGACCATGGCGTCAATCCCACTATTCATTCTTTTATTAGCCGTTGGAGAGACATACATATCCCAAATGTGGACCCACTAATTATAGACCACAAATCTATCCATGAATCCACGTCACTTCTCAAACTCATCAAGTTATGACTTTCATTATCCCAGGTTTGACCATACGTTTCAATCCCGAAAAATTCCAAAGGTACACACTTTTTGGTGTACACACTTTTTACACATGTCCGTGTAAGGTTTTTAAAAATACGTTATGTCTGTGCAGACATAAAAAAAACCTTACACGGACATGTGTAAAAAGTGTGTACATCAAAAGTGTGTACCTCAAGTCCAACTCTTCAATCCCAAACCTCTCCCCGGAAACACACACGCTCATCAATCGAGTGCGTCACACACCACCTCCCCGTCCAAATTCTTTTTTAGTCTGACTAATAACAAAAAGTATATTGTTACACACTTTTCGTACACACACATACACACTATAAATACTCTCAAAAATAATTTACCCCATTTCCTCATCTCAACTTTTACCTTCTTCCTTTCTTTTATCTTCTCTCTCCCTCTTGTCCTTCCTTTACTTCTTTTCCTCCTACGATCCGTCTCCCATCCTCCAGCTTCTCTGTTTCTTCTTTTTAATTTCCATTCCATCTTCTTTCCTCATTCTTCTTCTTTTATTTCTTCTTGCACCAGCACAACGGTTCAGCCGTTTCACCCACCAACATCACTCTTTCGTCCATTTTTTCCCTTGCAGCCTTGTAAGCCATCCCCCTCAAATCCGAGTCCAACATCAACGGCGTGGTTGCAGCTGGAATCTATGCGACGTCGAGGCCGGATGACACGGTCGATTCGCCGCTCGAACAAGAAACACCAATCAACCAGCCCTTAATATTGAGGTAATAATCTATTTTGATTTTTTGCTGATTTTAGGGTTTTATTTATTTAAAATTTCTGATTTTTTGTATATTATGTATGGTATAACACTTAATAGTTGAGTACTTTGTATTGTTGTAAGAGAATGTAGTGTTAGTAAATGAAATTTTAGTTCAATTTTTCTATTTCACATTTATGCTCATAACATGTTTGTTGAAATGAGTCAATGATGTTTTTTTGTTTAAATCCAAAACTCTTACTATTTTTTTGTTAATTAGTTCAAGAATATAATTTTCTTGTTTTCACTAGACTTTTGACTAGTCTCACCTCTTGGAGGTTGTTTCTATTGATAATGGATGCTTGAAATATTTGCTCCTTTTCCTCTCTTTGATTGGGAGCACAGTCAAGTTCAGGAATGAAATTGGTGGAGCATGTACCCTGTGATTTGAATCCTTCGAATTGGTTACTTTGGAATGTGAGTTTTCGCAATGACTATTTGGAAAACCTTGTTATTTATCCCATCATGCTACCTTTTATGTCACCATTATTCTAAAAACCCTCCAAGGCCAGCCTTAAAGGGATTCACTTATAGTCTTTATAGGTAGACCAGGCTCTCCTAAACGTGTTGAAGATGAGATTAGGCTCCTAGGTGTTGTTTTAGCTTTTCACCTATTCTAACTATTTTAGTAAGATTATTCGGCTTATATGCACGAATCTCTTAATGTTTTTGAAAGGAAAATCATTTGGTAAAATTCATTTCAGCCAAACAAGACAAAAGCTGTGTATGTCGCTTATTTTGCAAATTAGAATAAGCCACCTTTGGTTATCAAATGGGTTACAAGTAGTGTAGAAAATTGATAGGAATTATGAAAGTGTAGAAAATATTGTAAAGTAGTTAAAAGAGAAGACATGTTATCTTATTAGAACTTTGAGTAAATATCTATGAAGTTCACAAACAAGATAATTTTAGCTAAGTTTTTTTGCCACATAGGCAATACAAATGAACATTGTTTTGTTCATTTGTTTTGCTTGTGTGTTCCTTTATATTGTTTGTGCGTAGTTAAAATATTGTTTGTATGTTAATTTATTTTATCTGTGTGTAAAAAATAGTCAATTGCTAAAGAGCATTAGGCTAATTATTTTGTTCGTGAGCAATTATCATAAACATTCAATTTTTTTGAGAACCACCATCTCAAGCAATTATTCTCTATGAATTGTATTATTTTCAGATCCGGTGTTTGCGGGGTTATGGTGGCAGCGTTTGCGGAGTCACTATTGCAGAAGTTGCCCTTGATGCCCGAGTGTGCGTATGAGAACATGGCAGCGAAAAGATGTGAATTTGCAAAGAGGCTCTGGACTTCGAGGAAGCGATCAACTTAGACAAGTTTTAATGGGTGTGAATGTTTAGTGTATGATGGGTTTGGATGTACAATCATTGATGTAACCTTACTATATACATTTTGTGGGGGTTAGTTTTGGCCTGCATGGGTTTGGTTGTTAAATGTAGGATGTTGTACAATGTTACAATAACAATGTTGTATAATGTCCTACAATGTACTCTCAAATATTACCAATGTTGTACATTGGTATGCCTTTTTGTTTGTGTGAGAAACACTAACTGTCATTGGTGTTCATATAAATGGAGAAAGCTTTTTTGTCTTTGATTTGTATCCACTTTGTCTGTGCTATGTACACTATAATATCTGTCACAAACACATTGCGTGTCTGTGAAGAACAAAAACTCTGTCTGTGATGTGTGGCGTATTTATCTGTGCTATGTACACTATAATATCTGAAACACATTGTGTGTCTGTGAAGAACAAACACTCTATCTGTGATGTGTGGCGTATTTGTCTGTGCTATGTATCTGCTAGGACTTAGTTTGAATAAAAGACTTTTTGAGAAAAAACATTTTAAAAAATTGTTAAAGTACACTATAATATGATTAATATCTATCACAAACACATTGTGTGTCTGTGAAAAACAAACACTCTGTCTGTGCTGTGTGGTGTATATGTTTGTGCTATGTATCTGCTTTTGTATAGTTTGAATAAAAGACTTTGAGGAAAAAATCATTTTAAAAACTGCCATGCACATTTACATCAAACTAAGATTTAAATCTAAACCACTAAAAAAATCTAAATCACTACAATTCATCATGTCATTACGCCCCCCCCCCCCCCCCCCCCCCCCCCCCGTCCATTGCCATGCTGAGAGGTCGGTTGTGGGGTACTTCCCCTTCTCCAATGATCCTTTTTTGTGGTTTTTGTGTTAGATTGCCATTTTTATGTTTGGTGGCGCTCCGAGTTCTTACGGAAAATCCTAAACGCTTCCCATATGTCTTGTAAAAATTATACACCGCTTCATTGCTATCAAATTCCATACCAACATCTGGAGCTTTTATTGAACCATCGTCACTCTTATTTTGTTGAATTTCTCCATCTGACCAACACATGCAGTGGTATATTTATGCACAGACAAAAGTATATATACACATAGACACAAGTACATTTACACACAAACATTTCAAACATAAGTACATATACGCAGAGGCAATGGTAGATTTACGCACAGACATAAGTACATATACTCACAGACACAAGTATATTTACACACAGATATTTCAAATATAAGTTTATTTACACAAAGACATTTCAAATAATATAAGTTTATTTACACACAGACATAACATTTTGAACACAAACAATATTATTTCCACTTCACGAACACACAGACGATATTATACACTACACAAATACAGAGAATTGTCTGTGAAGAACAAACATATATTTAAGTTAAAACCCAATGAAATCAACAACACAAACTCATACCAAGCTTAGGGACGTCGTCCATGGCAGGAATCGCCGGTTCTCCGTCAAGTTCAGCCACTGCCGCCGGTTCTCCGTCAACTTCAGCCGCCGCCGCCAGTTCACCCTCAATCTCAGCCGCCGCCGGTTCTTCGCCATTTTCAGCCCAAAAATCGTCCACAGTAGTATCAATGATCATTTCATTCACAAAGCCACCAAAACCCATTGATTTTGAAGAGAAGAATAAAGAAACAAATCTGGGGTTGTATGGGTTGAGCTGCTGCGGGAAGAAGAAAGAAAGAATCAAGTGGGAAGAGAGGAGAGAGTCTGGGGGTTGTTTCTCACATGAGGGAGGGGAGGGGTTAAAAAAATGGTAAATTTTTAAGTTATTTATAGTGTGTGTGTGTGTATGAAAAGTGTGTACCCAAAGCAAAATTGGACTAATAATTGCGATATTTCAAAATCCAATTGATAAAAGATGAATAGTAAAAATTAATTAAAAATACACAAATATTATCAAATATGGTATGCGACAATGATAGTGCGACATTCAAAAATGAAAAAAATGAGACAATTATTAGGGGACAGATGGAGTATTAATTACCTTTCTCCCATATTCGATATTTTGTTTTAGTTTGAGACACTTATTAATTAAATTGCTGAAAACTTTGTACAATTATTAATAAAGTCCTTGAAAATAAATAATTGTGATTGAGATTTGACTAGAATAATGTGAAATCATATAGACAATCCAAAAAGAAAAGTAAGATAACCAAACTAGAACGATTGATTATACAAATAGTTATATAAATAACAAAAAATTGACATAAAAATCTCACTTACTTTTGATCAGCATTAATAATTCCAATTATGACTATTTATCGGTGAACCCAACTATAGTCATTTCTCAATAATAGTCCCTTGTGATAGCGATTCATAGTGTTGCTTAAAAAATGTTATCTATTTATAATGACTTGCGTCATGATCAGGCCATTTTTAGTGACCTCAACATATTAAATAAAAAACATTGCTAGTAGATCAAGAAATAAGAAATAATTACATATTTATGACTAAAATGAAGATTGTTTACAAAATGTGATTAGTGAGTAATGTAGTAATGAAACTATAGTAACTTATGTTCATTTTTAAACTTAAGTTACTATGACACTACATTGTATTAAGTAATAGTCATATTTATGTAAATAAGTTTTATTTTAGTAATACTTTTGTAAAAAAATCCGACAAATAACACTACATACTTATATATTTACTTGTCATACATATTTATTCTAGGATGTCTTATTACATGCACTGGTTTCTTATTCTGATAGTTTTTTTACATATATATATATATATATATATATATGTGTGTGTGTGTGTGTGTGTGTGTGTACATATATATATATATATATATATATATATATATATATATATATATATATATATATATATATATGTGTGTGTATGTTGGCCGCTTTCCAGACCCATTAATCGTGAGACCGGGGGTCCGAGTGTATATATTCTATCAGGAGTCCCTCACTCCCTGAGGTGAGAGTACCTGAGGAGAAAGGGATTAGAACTATGTGATGGGTGTGTTTCGAAGAACAAAGAAATATAATTAATAAAATTAATTAATTAATTAAAATGACTAAAGAAAAAACAGAAAGTGGATGGAGCAAAATTAGCCAAAGCTCGTGCAACGCACGATGTCCTTAAAACTTATTTGTTGCCTCCTGGGGTGCTAGGAGCGTTGCAACAATCGTTTCCCGGGATACGATGACTACGAACAATAGTTTGAGCACTCAAACAAATTGTTCCGGCGAACGAGAACAAGTACGAACACCAAGGAATTTTTCAAGAAAGCTAGAGGTGTTTTTGAGAGCTAAAGAGTGCGAGGTGATCGTTTGTGTGTGTTGTTGCAAACCACCTGCTAGCCCATTTATAGAGGAAGATTTGTTGTGTGTTAATGACTTTTTAATGGACATTACCGTTGAACATCAATGTCCAAAACGTTGGCATTGAATCGTCTGTAACTGTCCATTTAATTGCAAGAGACGTTGCAGTTGGGCATTAATCTTCGTAACGGAAGCAAGAGGCTGCTAGCGAGCAGGCGGCTCAACAGGTGGCTGAGGGCAGCAGGCGAGCAGGTGGATGCTTTGCAGCAGGCGCCTCAGCAGGTGGCTTCCTTGCAGCAGGCGCCTTAGCAGGTGGCTGCCTTGCAGCAGGCACCTCATGTCACGCCCCGGACTTAGCCGGACACGTCAACAACCCGCCGTACAGTACGAATAGTCAACCGCAGTCCAACTCATCCATACTATACAAGGCGTCATGAATACCGTTCACACATAGTACATCTATAAACAAACATAATGTAAAACATGCATTTAAAACAGCGGAAGCATTTAATAAAGATGTCTTAGCCACACTTTGGCAAACATGGGCATACAAGCCCCCAAATAATTATTCAAAAATAATATCCATGAGCATTGTTATAATTGTTTTGAAAACAGGAAACAGAAGAAGCACGAACCACGTCTTCTCCCTTGAAAATCCCCGAAGCAACGGGCGCCGGTAGCAACCTTCAAGTTCTACCTGAAACTGTGAGGTGGCCTCCCCCGTGAAGGGGAGGTCAGTACTTGGAAATATTTGACAAGTACAATAGCAACTATACTAAGTATAATCAACGTTTTAATTTCCAATACCCCCGACTTAGGGTACTATTATATTATAGGCCATAACCCTCGGTTACCCTTTTTACCTTTAACTGTACTTACTTTACATAAAGTCAAGTAGTCGGCCCGTAGGCCCATATTCATTTAGAATTCACCGTTCCCATTCCCCCGTGACCGCAAGTCACGATAACCCCGTGGGGTCCCATCGAGCCCCAATTGTATAGCATGGGCTCGGCCCAACTACATCTCTATACAATCCTCTAACTCGATATATCATATCAAAATTTGTATGGCAAGGGCTCGGCCCAACTACATTTCCATACCAACCATAACTTCGTGGCAAGGGCTCGGCCCAACTACGTTTCCACGGAGGTCACATATACATGGCAAGGGCTCGGCCCAACTACGTTTCCATGCTAATCATATTACATGGCATGGGCTCGGCCCAACTACATCTCCATGTCATCCTAGAGTCCAACTCTAATTATTTTCATAATCAAATTCTCAAGCAAGTCCTATGTCTAGAATCAATTTCCGGAGGTGGCCTTTAGGCCTACCCCTATCACATCTTAGTGTTCATACCATTCCTCCTTAAGTATCTCTTGAGACTACTTAAGGCATATCTATTCACAATCCTACCTCTTAGGATTTGTTTCATCAATTATTTATATTAATTCCCCGACTAGTTATTTTGATACTAATTGGATAATCTTAGAACATGCCAAGTTCCTATTTCCCAATTGGCATTTCATTTCCATTGATTTCTCAACCCAAGTATAGTTTGATCTCAATATCAAAAATATCACTTTAATCCATTCATGAATTTCATACATGAAGTAAAGTATATTTTATCACAATGTCATCTTAGTAATTCCATTAACATGCCATTCCATTCATTTCACATAATCATACACAATTATTCTAAATTGGTATATCATGCTTCACTTACTCATATTCATATTATTTTCATTTAGACATTATTAATCATTAATAGTCCATGAAAATCCCATCTAATTACTTTAGGCATTCTTATGAAATTAACTCACTAATTATAAGCAATATAGTCAGTCATCCTCACCTCGTGATGTGCTACAATAGTTGCCTTTGTTACGCCCCTCGATCAATCCCCGTTCTAGGCCGATTGAAAGGCAAAACTGGACTGCCTGGGCAAAAGCCGGGCGGCTTTCACGAAAGCCGGGCGGCTTTCGTGGTCTGCAACTGCGACTAGCTCCTTTGAAGTGGCGGTTTCCGGCGATTTCGACTCCTATCGATTTGCCAACCCTCCTAAGTTAATTACCACCACTTTATATCAATATTCTACACTTTTAAACGTGTAGAACTCATGGTTTAATCCACCATATGATTTCTTAAAAATCATACAATAATAAAACTAGTTAAAGATTGTTTATTGAGTTCTTACCTCAAAAACAACCCTCTTCTCTTTGGATTCTCTTCCTTGCTGCTTGGACTATGAGAGGAGGCTTCCCTAGAGCTTCTCTCTTTGCCTTGGCCGAGTGGATGGGTGAGGAGATGCTAGGATGAGTGATTAACACCATCCACCTAAGTCAACCCACAAAATAAGGGAGTAGGGTAATGGTGGGTATGGGTTTTGTCTCTTGGAGACTTCCCACCTACTAGGTACACCCCCCTCCAGCTGCTTCCTTGTCATTTGCAGCACATTGGGTCGTGGGGTGGCCCCCACTCATGTGGGAGGTCATCCCCTTATGCCCCGATGTGTATAATCGGCCCCGAAAGTTGTATTTTTTGGACTGTTTTAGTCATATTTTATTTTATCGGGCCGGATAAAATATATCACGCGTTTCCAATAATTATGGGCCTTTAGAATAGACATACGTTCCCCAAAATTAATTTAGGAGTCTCCGAAACTCATTTCGGGCTGTTATCCGCTAAATTACCAATACCGGTAATTGGGCCCCGTTTGACCAGCCGATCAACTCCATGCCTTTCTTATGGCCCAAATAAAATACCCATCACCGTATAGATGTCATCTAGACCAAGACGAATATAATATGTGGTTCGGAAATTATCGGGCGGCCCCCCGGTCCGGGCGTGGGCCCCACATGCAATTTACTATTCACGTAAAAGAAATAACAAAATTTAACAATTACGTAAATTCATAAATCATCTTTCAAGGTTTATTACATAATTTACTAAAAGTAAATATGCTTGGGGGACGGTGCTACAAGTTCACCCCCCCTTAACGGGAATTTCGTCCCCGAAATTCACAATGCTCACTCAAACAAAAACGTGTATTGCTCTTTCATCAAAGCTTCCGTTTCCCAAGTTTCCTCCTCAACTCGGTCACTTTTCCAAAGGATTTTAACCATTGGAACTTTCTTGCTTCTTAGCTTCTTTACTTGTCTATCAAGTATCCTTACCGGTTGCACGACGTAGTTCAAGTCTTCCCGTATTTCCACGGGTGGTTTCTCTAGTACATGAGATGGATCCGGAATATACTTCTTAAACATAGACACATGGAATACATTATGTATTTTCTCCAACTCCGGAGTCAACTGCAATCGGTATGCTACGGCCCCAATTCTCTCAAGAATTACAAATGGCCCTATGTAGCGTGGGTTGAGTTTCCCTCGGCTCTGAAATCGGATGATTCCTTTCCAAGGTGAAACTTTCAAAAATACCTCATCCCCAACCTTAAACTCTAAGGCTCTTCGGCGTTTATCGGCATAGCTCTTCTGTCTATCCTGTGCCGCCTTAAGTCTGTCAC